TGTTGCGGGTATTATAATACACATTTTTCGGGTGCTTATAATACGAATTTTGTTGCGGTTATTATAATAGTAGTTTTCGCGTGCATATGATACGAAATATGTTGGCGTGCATATAATACACAGTTTTCGCGTGCATATGATACGAAATATGTTGGCGTGCATATGATACGAAATATGTTGGCGTGCATATGATACAAAATATGTTGGCGTGCATATAATACGCAGTTTTCGCCTACATATGATACGCATCTATCCCACAACCCTAAACCTACCCATAGCGTAGCATATATACGCCAAAGTCCATTTTTGCGTATCAATACCACGAGTTTCGTTTTTATTTGGCGTACTAAAAATACGCACTTTCATGAGATCGGGTTGGCTACAAACAAAAAGCTAGCTTCACTGAACCTATTTCAGGAGGCGGTATTGCTTTAAATATACGAAGCTAAAGTATAAAAGCTAAACTATTGAAAAGTAGCCAGGAATCACTACTTGTAGTTAGTTAGCTAGGTTGGCATTAGCCGCAAATTAGCCATTTTTCTTTGATCTTCTATGTAAACACAGTGAGGGAATTGAGCGTAATTACCCATGCTCCTCTCACAAAGGCTAATCCATCAAACACCCAATTAGCTAATGCTATAATGATAATCAAAGGCCTTTCAATTATTAACGGCAGTAATTGCCTGTCACCAAAAGCAGAGGCTGCTGCTGCTGCGCGCGCTTCAGCTAATTATTACTATTTACTGCATTGAGTCTGTAATTACTCAGACCTGCGCGAGGGCCCATTACTAGCTGCTAGCTCATATAGACGCGGAACAAATGCATTCATTGAACCCTTGCATTTGTTAAAACCTCCTTCGGTTTAAATGACGCTTTTCCGTGCATGTCGGTCTTTAAAACGGAAGTTATTGTACAGTACAATTTGAGGAAATGTCCTCTTCAAGTTATTTGAGGTCACTGTAATGATATGAATCTGATTAAATGACATGCGTGTGTTTGTGTTCACGAGCCGCTGAAAGATTTCTGAACCACAACTGTGTGTGTTTTACTTGTATTTGGAATACATCGATGTTAATAGTATACATCATGTAGGCTACTCTCTATATATAAATATACACATAACATTTAAATTAATTTAAATAGTAATATGCTTCTCATAACAATAAATATGTATGTAAATGTGCATTTATTATGAGTCAAGTAGTTGATTCAAAACAATGATTCACTGATTCACAGCATTTTTAGTTTATTAATTTAATGTTATTTTATGTTTTCAACATACATATTTTGATACTTTTTTTTGTATGTTGTACCTTTTTATTTTAATATTTTTAAAAATTCATAAAAAGTACAATTTTCTTTTATTTAAATTCAGAAATAATAATATACTATGCATTTACTATTACATAATTATTTAAATAATACAGTTCTAATCTTTTAAATAACTATAGTAATATACGACTCATATTCCATATTTTTAAAATACATATAGTATATTTATATTTTTTAATGCATTTTGTATTATTTATCTAAATTAAATTTATTTTCCACTATTTGACCACACGATGGCGCTCTACTCTTCAATATATGACCACTACGATTTTTTTATTTAAATAAGTGTGTAATTTACTGTGTGTAAATATTTTTATGAGGTGTGTGTGTGTGTAAATATTGAAATAATATTCTGTAAATAAATATGTTTACAGCTAACAAAATAATTATGAATATACTACATACATATAAATGTTTTAAACATAAATATAATTGAGTTTTTATATATGTACATTTTTAAATGAATACATTTACAATGATTGAATAAAATATTACATATATAATAAAATAATATATTGTTATTATATTTTCATTAACATACTATACTACTCTAATATACTGTATAATAGCTTTATATACTACTATGTTATTCCATAGTGTGAACACACGGTGGCGCTGTTCTCCTAAATATAAGGTCCACATAAAGTTTATACTGTAGACACAACCAGCATGTTTGACATCAGGCGTGGATCTTTTGATGAAGCCAGAAGCAGTAGCAGTCAGATGTGTTCGTTTGTGTGTTTGTTTGTTTGTGTGTTTGTGTGTGTTTGTTTGTTTGTGAGTGTGTGTGTGTGTGTGTGTGTGTGTGTGTGTGTGTGTGTGTGTGTGTGTTTGTGTGTGTATGTTTGTGTGTGTGTGTGTGTGTGTGTTTGTGTGTTTGTTTGTTTGTTTGTCTCACCGAAGGCTTTCTTGGGCTCGACCAGGCGCAGGGTGAACGGCGTTCCTCTCAGCTGCTCCTTCAGCATCTTCGCCACTTCATAATGCCGACATCCCACAATGCTCTGGTCATTAATGGCCTCGATGTGATCGCCGACACACACCGTCTTTATTTGGTCAATGGTGCTGTCTTCCTTTATCCTCTTAAACAAAACATATGACATAATATGACAGTATAATAATATAATGTAATATATGTAGATATATTACATAATCATGTAAAACATAATATATTTAACTGATTCTGGTGTACATTTGTTTGTTTTTTTGCTTTTTTACATTTAAATACACAGTTTTTCTTACATGCTTATAACTGTTTTATATTTTACTTGTATTTTTAACTGCTTTGTTTTATTTTTTTTTTGTTATTATTTTTTTATATATAAATTTATATCCTTTAATTTCCCTGCAGAAGTAACAGTTCATTGCAAAATGCATGCTGTTTGTGCAATTTAACTTTGACTTTTGAGTTGTTGTTGTTTTATTATTATTATTATTATTTTGCTGTATTTTCATTTTGGAGGCTCAAATTCTTAATATTCCCAAATTGGTCCGTAATTATTCCAAAATATTCCAAAGTTATGCATTCATTCATTCTCTTTTTTGCTTTTGTTTTCATTTTGTTGCATGTATATATATATATACTTTTTTATTTCTTTCTTTCTTTTATGTCTTTTCTTTTTTTAAATCTCTTTTTATTTGTATTTTCGGGGGCTCAAATGTTACGATTCTCAATATTCCAAACTGGTACAAAATTATTCCAAAAGTATTATTGATTAATTGATTGATATATTCTTTTTTTTTAATTTTGCTGTATATTCATTTTGGAGGCTCAAATTCTTAATTTTCTCAAACTGGTCCGTAATTATTCCAAAATATTCCAAAGTTATTTGATTCATTCATTCACTGCTTTTGTTTTGTTTTGTTTTCCCGGGGGCTCAAATGTTAAGATTCTCAACCCTCTAGACTAGTTTCCCAGGAAACCGTTAGCTGGTTACCCTGGTTACCGCACTTTGATGAAGGCGTATCCCGCGCCGTTGTCAGTGATGGTCAGGCCGAGCGCGTCTTCGGTTTTAACGACCTCCACCTCTTTGGTTTCTCCCCTCACGTGCGCGAAGATGAAGTCCTCCAGACCGATCTGACCGCCCAGCAGCTTCTGCATGTCCACTTTGTGCGAGTTCAGCGTGCAGAAGAGGATCTGGAGGGAAAAACAGACAAACGCTCATCAGATCACAGACAAAACCGACACCTGGGCTCGTATGTATAAAACTTCTCAGAAATGCTCTTAAGAATAGTCTTA